AAGAAGTGTAAGCTCCTGATGAATTGTCTGCAGCTCCGGAGAAACGCTTGGAAGAAGAGTAACTTGAGATGTTGTAATCTAGAGGGAGAAAGATGAGAATTGATATTATAATAGAATATGAGAGTTTGAGTTGTGAAGAATGAAAGGGATTTAGGGGGTATTTATAGGATTAGAGGTAGGGAGGAGAGGCTTTAATTTTTTTTATTTCAGTTGTCCCCTAACTAATTTTTTTTTTCATTTTGGGTTACCCGTCAATTTGGCAACATCTCTCCCTTTTTTGAGCCGTTGGGAGCCTTTATTTATTTTTTCATTTTGGGTTGCCTGTCAATTTTCCTTTCTAAGCAAATAAGGGCAAAACACATGTACAGAAGGGCGTATAAAAAAATTACTATAAGGGGTTAGAGTAAATTTACCCCAACCCAACTCTCTGTTAAACGAGACGGGTATAGACCCGTCTTGTACCCGTTTGAACCCGCTTCGTGCGAGTGCATGAGACGAATTTGGGCGGGTCAAAATGGTTTGACCCGTCCCGTTGGCCATCTCTTGTCTAGGAATCATTCTTCAACAGTCTAGAAGCATTTTGAAAAAAAAAGTGAAGATAATAACTTCCCGCCTTTTTATCTGCTTAAGGAGTTGATATGTTTAGTAGTTGATTAACATGCTTGTTAGAATGTAAAGCTATAACCCTCGACCTTTACCACAACTTTGGATGTTTGGTGTAATGGTTTGAAGGACTCGTTTTAAGATAATATCAGAGCGATCCAAGTTCAAATCCCACTGATTATGAATTTAAAAAGCTGATTTTTTAGAAATTGACACCGTCGCGTGAGTCCATTTAAAGTAGAGTTTTGGTCTAGTATCAACGCTTATCACTTTAGAGTTTTGGTCTAATAATTAGGACTTTAAGATGATATCAGAGTGACTCGGTACATATCTCACTGGCCGCATTTAAAGCGAATTTTCTCAACATTGACACATCCATGTGAGTCTAGGTTCTGGACCATAAAAAAGGGCACTCAACCTGCGGGGCATATTAGAGTTAATATAAAATTATAACCCTCAACTCTTACCATAAATGTAGAGTTTTCATATTATGGTTAGAGGGACTTTAAGGTTTTAAATCAAGTCTCTCTAAACATTACACCAAAACGTCGAATTTGTGGCAATGGTTAAGAGTTATAGTTTTATATTCTAACATGCCCGCGCAAGTTGAACGCCCTTTTATATGAGTCGTAACTTGGATTTAGGTAGCGGTAACAAAATTTTTTAAATCCGCATTAAATTTATGGCCAATAAGATTTGAACCTGGGTTGGCTCTGACGCCATCTTAAAGTTCCTATTGGTGAGAGTGTAGGGTTATAGTTTCATATTAATTTTAATAATGCTAATAGTCAACTTGATGCATTTCATATGCTGAATCTAATCACTTTATTTATATTATTTTTAGATTGCTTGGAGTCATTCATATATTTGTTGCCTGCCAGAAGAACTAGAGATGAGGCACCTATCTGAATGTAAACGTGTTAAATGTTTTCCCTGTTGTAGATGTTCCATCGTAACATACACAATTCTATATTAAGAATGTGGCCTGAGTACATTTAATTGACAGATGGCTTATTTGGTTGTACAAACAATCCTTCCGTATTTTGGATAGTTTTATAATCAAGAATATTTTGGCAAAGAAGCATGCTATGATATTAAGGACAAATCATGCTACTAAAAGTTGATATGTTTTCCATGATACTTTATTAAAGCAACTGCCTTAATTTACTTTAAAAGGGGAACATTCATATTAGACCATTTCCAGAAGAATTACAAAACAGGTAATTCGTCATTATTTTACTTTTGAAGCTCTTCATTATATAAATACAAATAGACTTATATGTATATATACAACATGTATGCACATGCATGCAGTCCGTCATAGTGTGTAGATTTTAGAGAATCGTCATGACCGATGTCCTGCGTTTATGTTGGAATGTGGTATTTGCCTTCAGATCACAGTAAATATAAGGAGAAATTTTTAAAACCAACCTTTTTTAGAATTTAATAGGCAAAATCGACCTAAAGTGAAAAATATTGAGAAATTTTTAAAACCAACCTTTTTTAGAATTTAATAGGCAAAATCGACCTAAAGTGAAAAATATTAGCAAAACCGACCCTTTTCAGAAGAAAAGGGTCGGTTTTGCAGCTGAACGTGTTTTACGAACTGCACGGGACTGCTAGTCCCGTGCACTTGGTCTTGAGCAGCGGCAGGGCTCTCTGCTTAAAAGTCGGGACTGCTAGTCCCGACTTTTAAGCAGAGACCAGGTGCAGCAAGTCCACGGGACTGCTAGTCCCGTGCACTTGCTGTGCACACTTTTGTGCACTTTCTTGCTGCATTTCAAGCCGTTCCTGTACATACATCAACACAAACATCAACTAACAAGTAACATACTCATTTCACCACTACATTTCATGTAATCCCGTTACATACATCCATACAAACTCCCACTATCAAATTACATACTGATTTCACCACATACTCATTTCAAATCAAACAAATCACATCACACCACAAACTCCCACTAACAAATCCAACATAATAACACCACAAACCCACTTAGAAATCAAACATATCACACGATATTATCGACTACAAATCCAAAAACCACATCCCTAAATAGTTTTGTAATGTATATAACCTGTAGTTTACATACATCCAAGAACTCTCCTCCTCCTCCTTTGGCTTCGTCGTCCTCCATACCGCCCTTCGACGAGTTCGTGATCCGGTTGCGTTTGTGGTTGTGACGGTCCAGCTCCATCGTCGACACGTTGGGAAGGTCCAGCTTCATCGTCATTTCTGCGTCGTCCTCGACTTTGTCGCTGTTGTCGTGTATATACGAATGGCGTTACCTCCCGTCCATCATGACGATCTTCGTGAGTTCGGTGTAAGGCTTGTTGAAGCCTCTGCATTATAGCCTGATATATTGATACATGTTCATGTGTTTCGGGATTTCTACCTACGATAGATAGTTCAAAAATAAAATTTCATATTAAATTTGATATAACAGAATGTAAATTTGAGATTTAATTTTATCGTACCTGCTCTAGCCAATTCCAAGCCACGATTTGCAAGAGTTTGAACTTCATCTATTGCTGATACCTGTAAATATTTCAACACATAAAGTACCAATAAAAATGGACTTAGATAAAAAATGGACTAAAATATGAAAATACTTACTAATTCTCTCTCATCTATACCCCGGGGCACATATCCTCTTTGCGACTCAACCGGTATTGTGGTCGAATGAAGTATCCATCTTCGGGTTATGCCCCAATACCAAGTGTAGTAATCTGATTCCCGAGGAGTTGGTTCAATTTGGTTGACAATACAAAAATGCCTATCATTCCATTTGTGTATAAAAGCTTGATGCACGATCATCCAGTTTATTTGTTGGCCTCCTTTCTTTGCCTTCCTCTCTATCTTTTCAACAAACTGCGGAACATGTTGTGCACGACCAAATTGTCGAAGCACGCGGTCCGGTACATGCATTTCTACTATCTCCAAACATATAAGAGGAACTCTAGCTCTCCATACAACTTGGTATTCTGTGCATATTGGGGGTAGCTGAGGTAGAAATTGGGTGTATGGCTCCCATTCCATCTACAATAATTTATTGCAGTTGCATATCAGAATTGGGTTTTCAGTATGTAGAAGAAAAAACGCATGTTTTTCGGTGAGAATTACCTGAAAAATCTTCATACGGTCAAGCTCATTCCGGTAGAAATCCAATTGTCTAGCCGGGGTCTCGTCATAGCATTTTTCGACATTCCATCTACAAAAAAAATATTTGTCATACATTTAGTACCACAATGATAACTACAGTTATATTCGCTACATAAAAAATACAATACCTGCATCCCAGTGGAATTTGTCCATCTAATTGTAAATGCGTGCATAGTCTCGGCTTCAAATGAAGTCTCTCCCATGCCCATACTTGCAATAAGCTTAGACACCCTTTAAGCTCACTGTTTTGCATAAGTGCCACTTTTGACATCTCTCTATATAAATACGCCAAAACAGCACTACCCCACGATTTTGTACCACATACGTCCAAGTCCTCGAGGAGTGGTAACCACCTAGCATATTCACAATATTCCAATTTATTAAAATAAGCTAATTCAATGAAATACAGATTCATATTATAAATACACATACCTCGCATGCACTTTATCTTTACTTGAATCTGGAAATAATATAGTACCAATCATGTGCATAATGTATGCACGTGCATGTTGGTCAACCAAAATTTGTGGGGCATCAACAGGCAACGGTACTGAGAAGGTCTCTCTCAACCACTTCAACTTAATAGTTCCTCTAGGCATAGTCTCTGGAGCTACACCTAACAACTCCTCACATCTTCGAGGCCATACATCACTATCAGTGCCGGTAATGCACGGACCATCTATACGGAGACCGAGTATCACGGATACATCTTGTAGAGTAATGGTAGCCTCACCCATTCGGAAGTGGAAAGTATTGGTCTCAGGTCTCCATCTATCCATCAACGCAATCAGTAGGGGCCAATCGAGCTTTATCCAACGAAGCTTTGAACAAGTCAAGAAGCCGGCCCGTCCCACAGCTGCTATGATACGCTCATCCTCTAACCGCCAACGGCTATGGCTGAGGCTATGATCAACCATAACGATACTCGGACCTCTCTGTATAGACAATGATAGTATAAGAATGCAATATTATGTAAATGCAAATATTACAATTATAAAGTAACTGAATTATCATTCTCTAACCGCCAACGGCTATGGCTGAGGCTATGATCAACCATAACGATACTCCCTCCTCTCTGTACAGCAAATGATAGTATAAAAATGCAATATTATGTAAATATAAATATTACAATTATAAAGTAACTGAATTACCTCTGTACAGGATATAATATGTGAACGATGCTGAGCCTGGTCATATAAGACCTCATCACTAACCGGCCCAGGATCCATGGTGTACAAACCTGCACATACAATTATACACATATCTTAATCCCCCGCATGTCATATACCCTCTGAAATATCTGACATGCATTCAGATCAAGTTCAGCTCTAACTTCAGGCATAATTAGCTTACATATATAAGAAGAAGATGCAGAATAATCATCGATATCCACCGACGGGTTGCAACATGTATGAAGTCCGCAATATCTACATATTACAAATTGCCCATTGGATGATTTTCTCACAGCGGTATTTAGCAACCAAGGACATTTTTTATTTCTCTCATCTTGCTCATTTGCGTTCTCTACTTCATTCTTATCATTAAAGAAGCATTTCACATTGTAGTTTGTTGCATTAGTTTTTACCGGCTTGAATTTGACCCGATTCTTGATGGACCATTCTCGGATTGCAAAGATCAGTGCCTCCTTGCTCTCGAATAGATCCCCTTTTTTAAAAGTGAAGTCCTCGGGTCGTTGTAAATTTGGCCCAACATCAACAAATCCAGCTTGAGAAGTATTTATCCAATCCTCATTATGAAACTCGTCGGGCAACGGATCTTCAGCTTCCACATAATCATTGTTAACGTTAAATTGCTCCATCCAACGGGCGTCATCATCGATTCCAGCTGCCACATGCATGCTATCAATTTGCACGCCATCTTCTTCAAAATGATCTGAATCATCATCTGCTTCATCTTCTATAATTGCTCCGACTGGTGGGTAACCCGTAACATGACCTGAAGCGTCGTTAAATATATTAGTTGACGTCCCACCGATAGAATACTCACTTAAATGTTGTTGTTGAGACCATGACTCTTGACTTGGAGATGTCATAAAACCAATCGACTCGTTGTCTAAGTCAAGCATCCGAGAAAACTCTCCTTGAGGTCGTGAAACTTGGGCAAATTCCTGAATCGGATACTTCTAAATAAACAACTCAATTGACGCTTGTTTCTCGACTAATTGTTTCATATCATTCAATTCCTCATCTTCGGTAATCTCCACGGCAATAGTTCTACTCTCATTTATCGGACAGTTGAAGAACACCCTAATTGTATATTCTTCTTTCTTAATTTTAGTAACTCTGTGTATTTCCCTAGTCATTCCATCAAAATTACACGACTTAGATAGCATGAACATTTTCCGAGAACCTCCATCATACACCGGCAAATTATTCACTCCGACGCCGAGGCTCCCATTAAAGAAACAAATAATGGATATGGAGTTCGTCATCGAAACTGAAAATACACAGTCCATCATATGCAAATAATCTATTAATATCTGAATAAATCAACATCAAATTTATTACCTTAATCAATCTCAAATAATGGCTACACCCTTAATTATTATTCATCATTTGTAAATAATTGCTAAACCCTAACCCCCAAACCACATTATTCATCCTATTGCACAAAATAAAAACTAATCCTACCCAATTCTAGCAAAATTAACAGCCAAAACATTATTCCCCCAATTCTAGCAAAATTTGATGAATATCCCTCTAAAAAATAATTGCTAAACCCTCTCATATGTAAATTAACAGCAAAATTAAAAATGGCGGTGGTCGGCGGCGGGGTCGAAGGCTCAAAGGCTTTTTTTTTCGGGGGAGAACGTGAAGAGAACTGAAAGAAAGAACGAAAGAAAAAAAGGAAAGAGGGGAACTGGTGGGGTAGGCGGACTGCACGGGACTACTAGTCCCGTGCAGTTCCGTAACTGCAAAATCGACCATTTTAGGTCGGTTTTGCTAATTAATTTTTGGGACGGTCGATTTTGCCCAATAAAATCGAAAAATGGGCTGTTTTAAAAATTTCTCCTAAATATAATGTCTTGGATATTAAATCTTCAAGGTTGTCATTTATTTATTCTCAAGAGTCTAATTATACAGCAGTTCTTTACTTCTTTTAGTGAGTTGGTTTTGATCTTATGAGCAGGCTTGTAAATAGCTATAATTGCAACAACTTTGCCATTAATTTATATGTCGAATTTCTAGTTATATAATTGTTAAACTTAATAAAAAATAAAAGTTAACAAATGACAATTAAAGCTAGCAAAAACATTATTTAACAAAAAACAACAAAGGTACAAAAACAGCTAAAATTAATTGGAAACAGTTAAAATTAACAAAAAAATGCCCGATTTAACAAAAACAGTTGTTAACTTGTTTTTTGTTAACTTTTAGTTGTTTTTTTGTTAACTTCTTATTTTTTGTTAACTTTAATTGCTATTTAGTAACTAAGTTGCCTTTTGTTAACTTCGGCGTTTCTTTAACAAGAGCATTTTGGTGGATGAAATGACATTGGAAGGCGGCGGTCGAGGAAAGAAGAGAGGAGGAAGGGATGATGAGGATGAATGTGGAGAGAGGAGGGAGAACGTGGGGCAGAGATAGACAAAAAGATAGGAGTTAGGACGAGAGCAAAGGTGAAGATAGGAAGGAGGAGGAAAAGAGAGGAAGGAGAAGATGGAGCAGAGATCAAGGTGAAGAATGAGAAGAGGATGGGGTGAAGGAGGAGGCAGAGAGGAGGAAGGCAAAGCCGCAAAGGTGAACGTGGAGTAGTAGAAGAGAAGTGCGGAGGTGGAGGAGGGTTGAGGGTGGAGATGGAGGGGGGAGAGAGTAAGAGGTTTGAAGATGAGGGCATTTTATGGGGTAGCAAAAAACAGAGGGTAGAGTGAGTTGAAGAAAGTAAATTTTGGTCAGGGGGTTTCACCCTTGACTTTTTTTCAAAGGGGGAGGAAGCTCTAAAGCTTTAATTCAAAGGGTTTCCCTGATAATAAGTATGTTTTCATTGATTAAATTTCCTAAAATAGCTAACAATTCGGCTTATGGATACTCAAATTAACCAACAATACTATTGTGATCGACCTCTCTAACAATGAAGCAATACTTAACTGCAGAGGAACCAAAAACCTATAGACTAACATGGGCAACTGCCTGCATGCAAGGGAGAGGAGGAAATTTTGCCCAAACTGAGTTACTATGCTTGTTTGCATATCGATTCTCTTCCTGCGATAGGCTATGTTTGTGTCTGATTGCACTCATGGATTATACTGTTTTTCTTAGTCAGGTTTAGGCCCAAATGTGGTTGTACTGTTTTTCTTAGTGTGGTTGTATTGTTTTTCTTAGTCAGGTTTATGGCTGTTTAAGGCTTTTAAGAGGCTGGAATATACCGCTCCTGACACAACATTTGGAGCAAACTGCTCAGGCATGAACTTTACCATGTTTGACAAAATCCCTTTCTATTTATGAAAAAACGTCGTCTCTTAGCAATCTGAAGGTTAAGTATCTTTTTAGAAGGTGCCTCTATATTTTAAAGATTCAGCGAACTCTATTTGTCCGTTGTTTTGGTTTTCGTAGAATACTTGGACTATTTTTTCCTTCACATCTGATATTTCACGTCCATTCATCACAATTTATATTAGTTTGGGGTTAAGTCTGTGCTTTCTATAAGGTGACTTGACATCTATATTGTTTCATTTTTGCAGTTCAATGGCATGTAGAGATGGATATATCGATCCAGGCAGGATATGCACATGTTGCCACTAGTTCTTCTTTGTGTCTTTGTGTATTTCTCTTTTATTTGTTTTAGTAATACTTTCCCGTGGCAGTTGAAATTTGCATTCCTCCAGCTTGTAGTCTTTGGTGGTATATTGAAGTTTAAATGTAGAACATACTGGGGGTTGACGGATGAGACTGACGGAGTTTTCATCAGTCTCTGGGTTTCTTTACTGACGGAACAATGCACGTGTTTGTGGAAAATTTTACAGTAAAAGAAACGAAGGAAAATTGATTTGTATTCCTTTAATCTCAATTACAATTGGATTTCCTGATTATAAAAGAGAGGAGAATGATCTGGATTCTCCCCTTTGTTTAATTCTGGGTTCTTCACGGTAGCGATGAGATGCCTCCCTCGAATGCTCGCGTCGAGTTTGCTTCTCGTTGACGATCCGCGCGTCTTGATTCACTGGAACGGTATCTTCTCCTCACGATTTGACGCTGTGGAGAACTTTGAACGAGTTTGAAACTCTATGAAAGAGTTGATTTAACTGAAATCGGTTTATAAGCCAAGGATGAAGAAAGCTCTTGTAGCCGAATGTTGCTGAGGGATAACGTCAATCTCCTCAAAAGCCTGCCCAAGGATCTCTTCAGTTGATGTCAAGAAGTTCCAACAAACTGAACCCTGAACTGAATTGATTTTTAGTTATTTATAGGGGATTAAGGGGTGTAACCACCTCCTTAATTCGCTCCTAAGTGGGGCTAATGGGATGTAACCGTCCCCTTAAATCACTCCTGAGTGGAGTTGTGATCTCCTCAGATCGTGGGAAACGGTTTTGGAACCGTTCAGCTTGTGTTTGAACGAGTCAAACGCAAATCCTGCATTCTGGAATGAAATCTGCGTTTGAACGCAGCGTCTGGAAGCTGCGTCGTAGCGTCTTGTTGGAAGCTGCGTTGGCAGTTTGTTGGAAGCTGCGTTTGCGGCCGAACATGAGCTGCGTTGGCGGCCGAATCTGAGGCTACATTTGAGCTGTGTTCGCAGCGATTTAGAAGCTGCGTTTGGCAGCATTGGAAGCTGCGTTTGAGCTGCGCAACGATTTGGAAGCTGCGTTTGGCAGCGGATGGAAGCTGCGTTTGAGCTGCGTTCGTGGCTATGAACGCGACGCATCTTGATGCTGGTACGCGGGGAGGACTTCCACGTCTTGATTTGAAGAGACCGTCGATTTGTAGTCTCTTTCTGTCGAAGTGTTGCAAAGATCGTCATTTTGTAATATTTGCTTTAGCTCTCTGATATGTGAGAGTCGTCAGATTGTAACTCCCGATGTTGATTGTGGAGGCTGTTGATTAGAGCTTTCATCAATTGTTGTGAAGGTCGTCAGATTGTAACCTTCATCGATCCACGTGAAAGTCTTCAAATTGTAGCCTTCTGGAAGTCGTCAGATTGTAACTTTCATCATCGGTGTTTGATGGGGATCAGCTATCTATTGTGATTTTTAGACAGCCTACAGCATGAGACTAGGCTTTTACAGTTTGGGGAAAGAATCGAGGAAATAGCTGCTGTGATTGAAATCTAGCTGCAATGTGTAGTATTTACTTTGAATTCAAGTGAAACAAAGTCAAGGTTTCGAGGAAAAATGCCTTTAGGACCTAAAATATGGGACCAAGAGAGTTGACAGGTGAGGTGGTCCCTCCCTATTGTATAATGAGCTGGTCATGCTGGCTCATTATGCAATAAGAAGGGGACATCTCACCTGTCCCTTCCGAGGGTCCCATATTTTGGGTCCATGTAGCAACGCTTGGTTTCGAGATATGAAATGGATTGTGTGCATTATTACTCTCAAAGGCTATTTGGTTCAAGCAAAGAAAATATAAAATGGATTGTGCGCATGCTTATTCCTCTCAAAGAGCTTTGGAAAAAGTCCCATAGCTCGAAAATGGGCTGGAAAAGTAGGAAATTTTATAAGTGTCTCTCTTGAAAGTCATATTTCTATAAAAAATGAACTGAATACGTGTAGTTTTGCTGTTCGAGCTTGGGCTTTTTATCTTTTTTTTTATCACGCACAGCCTTCATAAAATATTTATGCGTGAGAAATTATGTGATTTGCGAAGCTTGTGTAAGAGTCAACAGGAGGTGGCCTTGATTGAAGTTTATGCTTTTAATTAGATACAAGCAATTTTGATGATTATTTTGCCGGTCATTATTAAGATGTAACCTATTCTAATGCAGGAAGGAGCGAGACGTTCAAATGTTATAAATTGCTTTGGATATAACATTTGATCTGATTATATATGTTCGTTTATCCTAGGCTAAATGGTATAAACAATTCTTATCTTAGGTTCAAAGTTATTAATTTGAATATTCATTTACGCAATTGGAGAATTCATTTCTGCAGTTACAAATATCCACAAATATCCCTAGGATATTGTACCGGTTCTTATGTTATACTTGACAAAGGTCGCAGTTCTTTTACTTTTTTTGTTGACCAAAAAAACATAGAAACCTATTTTAGGAAAACTTTTTCCATAATAGTTTATTTTTATTTTTATTTTTTCCCGTTTGCATCTTGAAACTAAGTAAAGAGATGAGTTGTCACCATCTTACTGAATTGAATTGGACGATGTGATTCATTTTTTAGGAAATTCATTTCATGGATTTTTTTTTTTAAGAAAATGGATTGAAACCAATTTTTATTATTTAAATGGTGTTATCCTCCAGCTTCTTTTTCCTTGGTTTTCAAGAAACCAACCAGTCAGAGGAATCCGCCAAGTAAAAGAAAAAAAAGGTGATGAGGTACTAAAAGCTTATGGTACTTTTAGGCTGTGTTTGGTTTGATGGAAAGGGAGAGAAAAGAAAAAGAAAGAGAAAGGAAAAAGAAAGGAAAGGAAAAAGAAAAGAAAATGATATTCTTTTTATTGTTTGGTTAGAAAGAATATTGCAAGGAAAGTTAGAAGAAAATTCATAAGAAAGTCATTTTCTCTTGTTTGGTTACATTTCTGAGAAAAGAGGAAGAAAATTATCACAACATAATTTTAATTCATACTTTTTGAAATTAGATTCATATCATTTGATTCAAATGTTGAGTGGCCATCAACATCGAGTTTGTAAATATTAACAAGCAGAAGCACAGCCACAATTCCGCTAATTAAAGAACAACATTTCTCACACATAATATTTGCAGAAAGAAAGGTCAATGAAAGAACCAAAACAAATCTAAAGAAAATATCATGATATTCCTAATATAAAGTATAATCCATTTCTAGTCACAAAGTCTATTACAATCAATTTCATATAAAAAATCTTAACCAACAAAATCTATTACAATCAATTTCATATAAAAAAATCTTAACCAACAAAATCTATTACAATCAATTTCATATATAGAGAATATTAACTAAAGAGAGAGAGAGAAATATGCCGAATTCCTTAGTTTTTGACTTTAGTGAGCCCATCAAAACATCAATCTCGCATCCTTCATCCCCTGAAATTAATTCAAAAAAATTCAAATAAGTAGAATATAAAGGTCCAATATAGTTATAACTTAGAATTTGCTACAAATTATATCTAACACTGTAAAAAGTAAAACATAAACGAAGATGTGAGCTCCAATATAGTTATAACTTAGAAGTAAACCAAAATATTAGTCATAACCTTCCCTCCACCATGAACATATCATTAAATGTTTAGGAATGTATTGTTGCATATTAAGATTTTCCTTTGGCAATTGTAAAGCTTCATATTTGGAGTAAAGAAGAAATAAGGAAATTTTTGAATAATTTAACTAATACAGTTATGCATTGAATCTGGAAGACATCTATGGCCATATCCAAAGATGAAACTGCCGTATGATTGTATTCCCCAGTATATTTGTTTTAACCTACCAAGTATATAGCTACTTGCTAGGTGTTCTGACTCTTCAAAGAAAACTAAATGGAGGATGTTCAGAAAATAAAATATGTGATTTAACAATACAGCATTCCTTGAAATGCCTGCCCCAAACGTAAATAAGTTAAGTTCAAGACAGAAAGTATTAGTCGCAGCATAGTACAGAATATGCTCCAATAACCATATTCAATGTAAAAAAAGAACGACTACAAGCAATAAGAACCAAATATAAGTTCATCAAACTTGCCCAAGCCCATGCTTGACTCCCCACTTGAACTCCCCAACATACCAGCTCCCATCCTCGCACGTATGCACACCACACCCATAGCTCTGCCCATTACTCCACCCACCGGCATAGACATCCCCCGTATAAAACCGATAGACACCAAAGCCATGTCTCAACCCCTGCCTATACTGCCCTCTATATCGACTCCCCCTCGCCCAGGTCTCCACCCCATACCCATCATACTTGTCATCAACCCAATCCCCCTCATACCTCCCACTCATATAGTAATAATACACCCCGCTCCCTGAACACTTCCTTTTATGAAACTCTCCCTCATACACATCCCCATTGTTATAGACCTGTACCCAAGATCCTGTATTGGGTACATATTAGCATTGGCAATGGTTTGTTTTGATATTTACAAATAAAAGGGTATATATTAGCATTAGCAACTAAAATTTGGAGGGTTAGTTAATTTCTTTTCAGAATGTAACATTAAGCTCAAGGAGTTCCAGTCACAGATACATGCATACATGCACACTCACGTGCACGCATGCGTGCAAGCACACATGCACAAGTATGCATACATATATGCACAGGCATATACACACTCTAAAATAGAATTCCAACCCAATCATCTCACATTAATGAAATACTGAAGGTGTGGCTTCATGACAAGAGTTTAACTTTGCGACGGGATCGCCTCGCAGTGATAGCTAATGTTTCACTCTCAGTTTAAGATTACAAATCACAGTAGAAGGATTGATTGTTCTAGTGCAAAATGATATTCATTCACTGGTCAAAGGTGACAAACAAGAGACAACCAGTACATTTGACAAAGAATCAAAGGAAAATGCCCAAGTCATAGTATAAAATCACTGCTAAACTCCCTACTGATGGCTAGTTGATCTGGGCACCACCTCGAACAGACACTTGAGAATATTTTGCTCTTCCAGAAGGTTTTCATTAAACAGGATATTTCAAACTATGTGCTCTAATAAGGTAGATTGTAAATTTATACTTCTATATATGTGGTTACAAGCTCTGAACTCACCTTCTTGTCAGCATAAACCAAGGAAATTGCAAATTCTAATAATGCGCAATTTTTTTGAGTTTCTCTTAGTTTTAATAATGAAAACAATTCCTTAAACTTATGAACTAGGTGGTAAAATGCAAACATGTAATTAGAGTGTAAATTAAATTACCTCCTGATACCGATATGTATTTTGGCCATGGACATTTTCCCCAACCATCAAAAGAGTTATATGGGCATCCTTTACAGGTTTGAATGATAAGCTTCATCTCAAATGCCTAAATTCTTGTTAAATTCAAATTAAAGCTAAAAATAAAATGGTCAGTCTCTTGAACTTCTCTACATCGGTACATACAAGAGAAGTAACTAGCCCTAACTCCAAACCATAGATGAATAAAAAAATCATAACTTTCTCAAGATTACCAAAGTAAAAAAATGAAGAGAAGTTGATCCGCTTGATTTAGCGCTACCTCTGAGATCCCTCCGCCTCCATCCCCAGAAACCGCTGCCGACGAAGTCAAAACTGAAGAATCCGGCGCCTGCGACGGAGAACCCGAGCGTTTCTTGGTCCAGAGGATCACCAACCGACTCACTTTCTCGTCGAGGTCCGCCGTCTCCCGCGAGTTCGGAGCTCCAACCTCGTCAGCGTAGGCCTCCATTGATCGCTAGGGTTTGCTCGAACTAGGGTTTCCTTCGACTAGGGTTTGCTGGAGGGGGGGTGGGGGAGGGAGCGGATTGGGGAGGGGGGGATGGAGTCGACGAGATCGGGGATAGAGTCAGGAATTTTCAAAGAAGGCGTCGGGCGAGATTTTCTCTCCCTCTCTCTCATTTTCGCTCCGTTTGAGTCGGGAAAGGGGAAGAGAACTGAGAACATATGAGACTTTCTACGGTGATTTTAACATTCATTTTCTTTTTAATTTTCTTTCAAACCAAATCAGGTAAAGATACTTTCTATTGCATTTTCTTTTCCTTTTCTTTATTTTCCTCCAAACCAAACATAGCCTTAATGGGTGATCGTTTCTTTTTTCTAAGAGAGTTTCTTCTCCAATATGAATGCTTTCACCAGCCACCCTTTTAATATCTTTATTACTGGCTTTTTCTTTAACAATAAAATTGATTATAATATGGAGAAATCTGAGGTAATTTCAAACGAAAGTAACGTTTGAGTTGTCGTGCGTCGCACTTCGTTTTAACCCAGCCGTTCTGGACTGCGCCATCGCCGTAACTAACAAGAAGCGGACGGTCAATTAATTGACCCAATCTTCTTCTTCTTCTTCTCATTTTGTGTCCTTGCAAATGCCAACATTTTAAAAGCAAAGTAGAAAATAAATGATTAGCAGCAAGCTATTACGGAACGCCGAATTTGACCATAGCAATTATTCTATATATCAATCGCCTCACTGTCGCCCTATTCTTTTTCTTTTTCTTTTTTTTTCCGGGTCAATCACTGTCACCCTATTCCTTGGCGTAGATAACTTCTAATGAGTTTTAAAAATGAAAATGAAAACTTTCTCAAGACTATACATGCCGCATAACATACAATATGAACTTAACTATTCATTTCCCCCCTAAACGCACGTGTTCAAAATCAAGAGAAGAAAACAGGCCCAAATATTTCCTTTTGAGTCGAACATCAGATTGGTCATCTAGCTTTACTTCAACTTCTAGTTTTCATAAGAATTCAGAGCCCCAATATGTTGACCATCAACATTATTATTATTATCATCCTCTCTTTTTTTTTCGCTCTTTACCTCTCTCTCTCTCTTTTGTGTTAATAAGTAAGGATTTATCGGCTGCAATTGCTTAAGCTCTGTTCCTTCATACCTGAGTGATGTCGAGCAAAGAAATGAAGCCAGTGAAGGTGAAGATCATCGAGACCAGGTTCATCAAGGCCGACGCCGGTCAGTTTCGGTCGGTGGTGCAGAGCCTCACCGGCAAGGAGTCAGTGGCTGCAGCGGCCGGTGAGCCGTCTAAGAGGCAAAGCGTGATGGGAGTGAGAAGTGAAGGGATGATCAGGAAGAAGCAAGATGATGAGCTAGTGCGCTCACTGGATGATTGGTGTAATCTTTTACAAGACTGAACTTGCTTGATTTATGCTGATATATGTTTAATGTTTATATTGCTATTTTTGTGGGTTAAATAACTTTTTACTAATATTTTTTTGTTTAGAGATTACGTAGAAGTTATATCAGTTCTAAAGAGTGGTGGGATGATGGGCAATGATCTCTGGGTGGGTAAGTTATTTGTTAATATTTTATTGTTATTTTTTCTCATTGAGATATTGCACGTATATCTAGTATTTAATATGTAAGATGGATTTAGATAGCTTCTTGCTTACCAAAAAGTAGTGGAGAGATCACTCTTGGATCACAATTTGCCTTTGAGTGTAAATTAGAAAAATAATACAATTTATATAGTATTGTACGCAGTAGATATGGAATAAATTATAACCACTAACTATATAAATTAACGATTATAATTAATGTAGTGTTTCGTGGCTATCCTTTGGACAGTAGAGAGGATCTTAGTCTGCTTTTGCAAAATATATAAAGTATAAATATGTCACTTGTATGGCATATTTCATAATCGATTTAAAACTCGGGAAAAAGACAAACTATATGGTTCTGTAAAATAACTCAAACTTTAGCCGGTGCAGATATATATTTAGAAATATAAGATTATAACCTTAAATATTCATTACAAATCCGGAGTTTTGGTAAAAAAAAGAAATTTGAGACGCAACTATACAGTTTTTTTTGTGATCTACAGAAGTAAGAAACATCCAAAATCACTAGCTTTGTCTTTTATCACAATGCTCACATTGATAATTCTTGAAACAAAAGTCTCAAAAAGATTTCATCCCACTGTTTTAGTGGGAGGAGGATCAAACAACCAGGGACAAAGACAAACAAATACAAAAGTCAAACAAAAAACAAATAAAATAATCAAACTAAAACTTCCCTCCATAACGATTCAGCCAAAATTTATTCCTAACCCATCTATATAACTAACCAACAAACAATTATCTTACAAACACTTATCAAGCATAAATCACTAACCAATCAAATCCTTAACCATGTCTCAAAATGTGAGAGGGCTGATAAAAGAAGGACTAATTACATTACGATACCTGAGAAATGACGTAATTATGCTTGTTGACATTAGTAATATATGTAGGGGGTTATGTGTAAGTTGTGTAGGGCCTATATAAGCCCAAGAGATCTCATAATAGGGTCAGGGTTTGTATTATCAATTTGGTATCAGAGCCTCCACCCTCTTCTCTCCTAGCCGCCGGCTGCACACCCCCCCCGGTGGCGAAGATGAGCACTGTTCGGACCTTAATCTCTCTGGCAGTAAATGGTGGATGGAAGCTACACCAACTAGATGTGAAGAATGCATTTCTTCATGGAGATCTAGTGGAGGAGGTATACATGGAGATACCACCAGGATTTGGTACAGATCAGACAGTGGGAAAGGTCTGCAGATTGAAGAAGTCTCTCTATGGTCTGAAGCAATCTCCCCGTGCTTGGTTCGACAGATTCAGAAGGGCTATGATTGGTATGGGATACCAACAGATCAACGCCGACCATACAGTGTTCTTTCGACGGAGTGGAGGCCACATTACTATGCTTGCGGTATATGTGGATGATATGATTATTACAGGGGATGATGAGAAGGAGATTGCCCAACTCAAAGTGAGACTGGGTAAGGAATTTGAGGTGAAAGATCTTGGCTTGCTTAGATACTTTCTTGGAATAGAGATAGCTCGAGGAGCGGAGGGGATCGTCCTATCCTAGAGAAAGTATGCACTGGATCTTCTCAAAGAGACAGGAATGTTAGGGTGCAAACCTGCAACTACACCGATCGACCAGAAGTTCAAGCTGGGTGCTGAGGCTGGAGAACCAGTTGATCGTGACAGATACCAAAGGCTGGTAGGGAGGTTGATCTATCTGAGTCACACACGTCCCGATATCTCTTTTGCAGTGAGCGTGGTGAGCCGCTACATGCATGATCCAAGGAAGGGTCATATGGATGCTGTGTACCAGATTCTGAGATATCTGAAGAGTGCCCCTGGAAAGGGACTGATATTCAGGAAAAATGGACATGTGAGCATCGAGGGTTATTGCGACTCCGATTGGGCTAGCTGTGCTAATGACAGGAGGTCCACCTCGGGATACTGCATCTTTATAGGGGGTAACTTAGTCTCGTGGAAGAGCAAGAAGCAATCAGTGGTGGCGAGATCAACTGCTGAGGCAGAGTATAGAGCTATGGCCTTAGGAGTTGCTGAGTTGCTATGGTTAAAGAGTATGCTGGTGGAGCTGAAGCTGGATCAAGGAGCTAAGATAAAGTTATGGTGTGACAACAAGTCAGCTATCAGTATTGCTAACAACCCAGTGCAGCATGATAGAACCAAACACATCGAGATCGATAGGTTCTTCATCAAAGAGAAGTTGGATAGTGGACTACTGGAGCTAAGTCATGTTTCGACTAAGGACCAGGCAGCAGATTGTCTGACTAAAGGACTTAGCTCAGTAGATATGATTAGAGGATGTGACAAGATGGGCTTAATAGATATCTTTCGCCCATCTTGAGGAGGAGTGTTGACATTAGTAATATATGTAGGGGGTTATGTGTAAGTTGTGTAGGGCCTATATAAGCCCAAGAGATCTCATAATAGGGTCAGGGTTTGTATTATCAATTATGCTAATAATTATTGAGACAACGAATTGTAATTACATGGATAAGTCGATGACATAGAGTATGTTGGTATATTGATACTTTTTTTTTGGCTGATTTGGATTTTTTTGGTGGATGTTAGTCAGTATTTGGGTTAAGGCTATACTTTATGCTTATTTACAGTTCTCGTTGGATGTCTATCAGTGTTAGGTTTGAAGTAGGCCTTGATTAGGCTTTAGGATTAGAATTATGAATAAGGAATAGGATTATAACAATGATAACCAGAAAGTTTTATTGTTGTAATCCTAATTTTAACTTTGACAACAATTTTTGCTATAATTCTGACAATAATACTAATCCTAATCCCATTTAACACCCAAAAGGGACTTCAAATCAGCAGAATCAACGACATTAAACTCTCATTAGATGTCAAAGATCACGCTCTAATGAAAAACAGTAATCTCAACGTCAAAGTTACCATTATAAACAATTTTAGACCATAAGGTTACCAGTGTAATTGCACCATATTTCAAAATACCAGATAGTAATCAATCCAAAAATGGGGAAAACAATGATAAAGGGATTAACTTTACCCCATGTTATGGTTCTTCCAACCCAAAGGCTTTATGCAGATAGCATAATAGAAGAACATTAAGCACAATTTCAAAATGTTGAACAAATAATCGGTGAGCTATACAAGATACTGTGATTGATGATCAAGTTGAGAAGAAGCATATAAAGAGAAGCTTTAGGGAGGCTAAAAGGCCTGCTCGACTCATTTCCTAAAAAGATAGGAATTTTTTTGAGCCAAAAACATCTTTTAAGGTTTCCAGACATTTTATGGGAAAATATTTTTTGCGTTTGTTTACAAGGAACGTGATGGTGAAATTCTTTATGCCAACTTTCCAGCTCTTTTCAGCCTAATTCTAAGCAAAAAGCTCGGAATTGAAGTTTCCTTTATAACGTGTCAAGGTGTTTTAAG